ACTGCAAACTTGCATTCATGTCTGAATTCATTTTTATGTGCAACGTCCACTTTTACAATCATTGCCCAAGGGATTAAATAAAAGTCCTGACCATTTTTCTCATCGAAAATCTGTTCTAAGATTCATGATAACTTCCATGACAGGTGAAAAAAAATAGTATTGAAAATAAAGCAAAAAGTGAGACGCAAATGTGTTGCACAAAGCATGCCAAGTAAACTTTTCACAGGCACACAATACAGTCTAATCCAAGATCTCAAAAGTACGCCTTCAAATAACCTTTAGAAAACAGCCAGCCTCCCATAATTGGGGCTCATCTCCACAAAGCTGTAAATACACAGTTGCTTGGGATCTTTTTGATAATCTGCGGCTGTAAACAGCATCACACTGGTGGCCTTTAGCAGGGTTTGTTGCGTGCATGTTAAACCCAAGATCCTCTTCCTCTCACTCTGATGCTCCTATGCTTGGCTGTGAATAGTTGCACTCTATGTCTAGCCTTGGAGGAATCAATTACTATTGATTTTCTAAGTTCTGTTCACTCTCCAGGGCCGAGTCAGAGAAAAGGGACAAAGGGGATGAAAACCACTGGTGAATTATTAAAGTAACCTGTTTTACTGTGGGAGAGAGAAATTATTGAGTGCAAACAAGAAGAACACAGTACGACGGACGAGGTGAATGTACGTAAATGACGCCATCTGCGCCACTTAAAACCTCTCGTCGTGTTCGAGTGGAGCTTAACCATAGGTTCCTCCATGCGTCTGCTGTCTACCTCTTTATTGAGCCACTTTGGGAAGAGATCCAGACAATGTCTGACTTCTTGTACAATTGAGAAACCAAAGGGCACAGCAGCAGTGTGCAAGCATACTAAAAAGAGCAGTAGTTCTCAACTCACAACAACATGGTCTAGTTGAAGGGATAGTCCACCCCAAAAATAAAAATTCTAACATTTATGTTGTTCCAAACTTGTATGGATTTCTGTCTTCTGTAGAACACAAAACCGAAATTTAGCAGAATGTTCACACTGCTCTTTTACCTATAATGAAAGTTTGTCCCGATTTACAGTTTGGATAAGTCAGCGCTAGTTGCCGAAAGTAAGGGCCAGTCTGCAGATTTGAATTGAAAGATTTCATAGAAAATTGCATAGTGTATGATGGTCACAGACTCCAATTTTTTAGCGTCAGACTATGATTCCATCCAGTCTGTATGAGTTTGTTGTGATCGGAAGGACTTTAAAGTCTGGTAGTGTGTGATCCTCAGTCGTTTATTGCATGATGGCCAGTTTACCTACTGGGGTCACTTTCATCTAATCTTTTTCAGAGGATCCAAAAAAATACCACACTGGTGAATCTAATTTTTTATTTTTTTGGTTGTTTGTTTGTGTGTAGGGTGCATCACTTTTGGTTTTGTGTACCATTAGTAGCAATACACTGGCTGTATCCAAATATGCATTCTTTATAGGTGAAAAACAATATGTGAACTGTAGTATGACCGAATTCATTGTGTTTTCATTGTGAAAAACGTACCTGGATGACCTTCTACTTCTGTTGAGATTCTGAAGTGCGCATCTGATGGCCACTTTACTATCTCATGAGGCTATGGGAGAGGATTTATGAATGGGTGGGCCACATGACAATGTTTATAAAACACTCATTCATACTAAATAAAACATATATATTTTTAAATGTTGCAAAGTAATTATTCAAACGTACCACCTACTCGACAGCATGTGATTTTGGAAGCAGCCATTGTGGCCATTTTACAGTGGGTGACAACCAGTGTTAAGATGCAATACCAACACCTACTAAGTGGAGTTATGGGCTCTGGATTATTGATGATATCATTGTATGTGTGGTATTAAAATATTATCAATATTTCTTATCACAATTATTGTCAAAACTGGTATTTCCCTAGTGCATCCCAATCAGTTTCAATTGATGGAACTTGGCAACCCTGCTAGACTGTCTCATTCTAGTGTTTAATGCTGAGAAGGACTCTAGCCTTGTAGCCTCAGATTGACTGAATTAGGAAGAATGACTTGGAAAATACTGTATAAATTGTACAGTCCACTTTTATAATCCCAATACAGACATTTTTTTTTTTTTTTTGGAGCTCAACAGCACACTGCTCTTTTTCTCAACAGAAAAAGAACCGTAAAAAGAAAGTCATACAGGTTTGGAACGAGTAAATGATGACAGAATTTTCATGTTTTCGGTGAACGGAACCTTTATCCATGGTTTTCCAGATAATTTAACAGCTATTATTGTTGGTCATATTGAAACAATTCTCAGCTTTTCCTGTCCCTCTAATGAGACCAATGCATTATCTTTCTTAGTGCAGTTGTGGTTAGAGGTCAGCGTGCACACAAAGGGGCCTCTGTTGATCGGTATTCAACACATTTTTCATCATCCCTCTGCCCTTGACTAGAGGTGCGGCATAAAATGAAAAATTTGCATCTCAAAGGTAAATAAGCATAATTTGATGGTCTTGTTTCTTTTCACTGCCTTCACTGAGGTTAGATGTGAAACAGTTGGGAACATTTAGGAGCTTTTTGAAAGGTTTGTTCCCTACATCTCACATCTGGCTACAGATATCCTGATCATGTTAAATGTGCAATTAAACCACCAGTCAGGCAAGTGCGTACTTGCCTCACAAAAGGAAGGAAAGGAACTGATGCACAAGGCTTACAAGGCAGATTTAAGGCTTCCTGTTTCAGGGCTTGTGGGATGCGGACTGATGCCACAGACACAGGAGTGCTGCAGGAGAGTAGAGGAAGTGACAGATGATATCACCTCATGGGCTGAGCTCTAATGACCTGTGAATGACTCTCACAATCCCCACTACTAACTGTCATAATTAGCTAACACAATCAGGCTGAAATGCGATGAACAGTCTTCATCTGGTCTGTAAAGTCTTTGGAGTGCTGATCCGACTGCAGATAGAGCAGGGGAGGGGTAGATGCCCGCGGCAGTGAGTTGAGACAGTATTAAACTGTGATCATAAACAGCTGGGTGGGATCCGTGGTGATGCAGTGGACACAAGTGTTGAGAGATGCCTACCTGGTACAAGGATAGGTTCAGCTGGCTAGCTTTGTTGGATGCTCCACATTGGCTCCTGCTGGTAGATATCGTAACTACACCATCTGGGGGCAAAACTGATGGAAATTTAAAAAGTAGCCATATTCTGATTAAATCATTTTATAAAGCAACTAAGTTTTTTTTCTTTTTACCTTGATTTATCAGTTCTGATGTTACACCGACTTCTAACAAGGCAAATGGCATCTGTTTCTTTCCCACACTCCACCCCAAACGCCTGTTCTGGGAGTACGTAAATTTGGTGAGTGGGTTCAAAATCCCGCCTAAAGGGCGAACTGTTTTACGGCAGCAACAAATGCACATGCAGCGGTCCACTGAAACTATGACCATAATCTCAAACAAACAATTAACAGGAAAGCTATTAACTTAATGGCAAAACATAAAATGCCACAAAGAGAGAAATATTATCAATGAGGATCCTCCAATCTGTAAATCATCTATGGATTAAAAGGTGCAAAGAGCACTTGAGGTGAGCCTCTTTCTAGACTGTGTAAATTAATATGGCAGATGTTAAATATTCAGCAATGCATTTGCACTCAACACTCAGGGCACTTGCCAGTTCTCAAAAATAGCTGGTAATGATAAACACTCCGAGGGCTGTTCATGAACACAAATGGCTGTCAGAATCTGTAATGAAGAGGGGAGAAAAGGAGCAGGATGCTGATGATGCTGTATTAAAAAAAAAAAGCAAACAGAAAAGATGAGAAAAGATGAGAAAAGAGAGCAGGGCGTTTGAAATGCAGCACATGGTAATGTATTAGGTCTGCCGGTGCTTCTGAACACCTTGCCGATGCAGTTTGCTTAGAGACAGCTTTCACCTCTGCTGAGCAATGTGAAAACTCAGTGAAGTTAAGCTAAAAGCAAACAATAAATATTGTAGTTGTCCCTGGAGGCTTGGGATGCTGAGAGAGGGATAAGCCCTCAAATGTTTGTTCGGGTTGAAGTGTAGCCTATATTGAGGCCTCAAAAATGAAATAATAGCCTCGCTTTCTCTGCAGTGCGAAAACATTTTGGCCACTATCACACAGAACAACACAAGCTTTTCTCAGATGGAGAGTTTACAAATGTGAACATGCACGTGCCATGTGAAAAATGTAAAACATTGGAGCGGACCACTAATTTAATGTGAATATGACACATTTAGCGCATTAGGATTAGCTTTTGTCCGGTCTGTTTACATTCACTTAAAGGGATCATTCACCTAAAAATGTAAATTCTGTCATTATTTACTCACCCTCATGTCATTCCAAACCTAGATATTTTGAAGAATGTTGGTAACTAAACAGTTTTGGTTAACAAAATTAACAAAAATGCAATGGAAGTCGACAGGAGCCAAAATTGTTTGGTTACCAACATTCTTCAAAATATCTTCTTTGCTGTTCTACAGACAAATGAAAGTCATACAGGTTTGAAACGACATTGGGGCAAAAATTTTCATTTTTGAGCGGATTATTCCTTGAAGACGCGACTGAGTTTACATCTCTCACACAACCTATAATGATTCCATTAGTAATCCATTAAGTGACTTATATATATATATTTATTTTTTAGTTGATTGCCAAGGACCTAAAGACCTCCAAAAAGGCCTAGAATTGCCTGTTTTGAACTAATCTGAAATCTTCTGTATGGCTGCATATTTTTAAAAGCATGGTGGAAAGCCCCATCTTGTGGTCTACATTGGATATTACAGTGCTTGTGGCAAAGAAACATTCAAAACCCAGCTAAGCAAATAAAATAAATCAAAACAATTATTTCGAGGACAAATTTGAGGTTACACCTCTAATTCAGGTCTATTTTTTAATCATAATTCAACCGCCAACTTACATTGGGGAGACAATGTTATGAATACAAATGATTTTTCAAAGAAATGCATTCTTTAAAATAATAAAAAACAAACATTCGAAAAAAAAAAAAAGTGCATACACATAAAACATACGAATAAATTAACAAAAAGCATTTGACACAGTCTCATGCAACCAAACATTTACATGGTTTTCGCTTTTCTAACTAATTATTATTTTCCTTTTTTGGTTGACCTTGACTGATGGTCATATAATAAAATGACAGCCCAGTTATAAACCCACCAAAGCAGGTACCAGTTCGTGATCAATACATGAAAACTGCTCTGGGTCGAGAGAAATCATTCAAGTCCAGTGTGTAAACCATGAGCACGCATATTATACCATAAGACTGATCATATCCAAACGCTTGATAAGACCATGTCATTTTAGCACTTGAGCCACTGAAAACATCCCATATGCAATAAGACTAAGAGAGGGTAATAGCACTTCTCTGAATTCATGGTCCAAGAACTTCACATCCTAAAACATGGAATGACGTGAAAGACAAAGTGAATGTAGTGTTTAGTGTATCAGCATTGCAAGCGATGCGGGAATTGTGTGCACTGATTGAATGCTGACGGTAAAGTTACATAGCTGATATAAGATACAACATTCCCTACAAACTACATGTGAAAGCATGACCAGACCACATCACGCCCGCGAAATGTGAAAAAAACAAAACAGGCTATGACTATAAAAATATAAAAACTAAATTTATCACATGGAAACAGGGAGGTCTTACCCTAAAGAACAGCTTATGAATTAAAATAATAGTTTTAATAAAAAAGATGTGTATAAAAGGAAAATAATATGAAAATACAATGCCAATTGATAATTTTGGAATACATATGATTAAAGATAATAATTTATGCTTTATCACAATATTTAAAAAATGTAAAGTTGGAAAAGTGTGCAAAAAAGCAATAAAATGCAAACAATTCATGCTGTTTTCTTAAAAAAAAAAAAAAAGTTCAGACATTAATAACCAGACTCGTCTTGTTTAGCAACAGTCACTTGCATAGTTAAGTGCATGCATTAATGTTATCATGCAATACTGCCTTTTTTTTTTTTTTTTTTTTACAAATACTTTTTCAGTGCACACACAAAATGGGCCTGTCACAAAAAAAAAAAAAAAAAAAGCAGTGCGCTACACATTAGGTTCATTGCTAAAGTATCTATTTTAAGATAAAGTGTGCTGTAAGAGAAGGGTTTCTCAGACCGAAAAGCAGCATGAAAATGAGAACGGTTCAAAAGTGGCGTCAGCAGCGCTTGGATTAATGTTTTAATTACAGGGCAGCAAGCTGAACAGCGGCCGACGTAATGACACTATTATGCTAATGTAACAATAATGACTTGCTTAACCCTACATTTCTCCTGTCATACATAACATTTTGAATCGGTCCAAATGAACTTGTCTGAGCTAAATCGAGAATGAATGAAAATATATTTAGGTGAACTCCATAGCGTTGACAAGCAGGCCTTTCTGCAGAACAATTTCAATTGGATATTAAATCACAAACTCTTGGGAAAAACAAAAATAATATTTTTTTTAATGAAATCCATTATTGTGGTGAGCCATTACAGTCCTGAAAATAATTTCAATTTTCAATGATTAAATGTTTTTTTTTTTTTACCACTATTGCATATGCACAGTATTGATATTTAAAATAATTTGTTTCTAAAACAGCAACATTAAGTTCAACATTTTTCCCAAATACCAAGGTCATATATCTGTTCTCCTAAAGTGTTGAACACTATTGCACTGGTTGTCCACAGATAAATATGGGATAAAAATGCACAAGGGTTCATCCCCAGCTAAAAGGGCCAAATGAAAACAGTTCATATATGTTGGCATTGGATTTGGCGGGCATGAAATGGTTCAAGTATGATTATGTGGCTATCAAACTTTCATTATAAAAACAAAGATATACAAAAATTCATGCAGGGCTTACACTGCCTCCATTAATATCCAGATAAGGAGATCACACGGCGTTTTGCTGGAATAAACTAAATAGAGTGAGTTTAAAGATTGTCCTCCACTAATTTACCATTTGAAAGATCACATTCATACAGCAACAATTCAGCTATCGGCCTGTAGTTGGCATTGTTGCGCACATTTCTAAGGGCAGTAATGCTACTGGAACACTTGTAACTGCTCTCAAGTAGAAAAGAAAAATGTCGGGGTAGGAGAGCAGGCTTTGAGAGGTACCAAAGAGATTGTTCACTGCTGAACCCCATTAAGTATACAGTCGCAAATTCGGTCAGGTTTCGTGATGTAACTCTTCTCAATCTCATACTGTATCAGTGCCAGGGGAACACTGGACTGTAAATAGCACCAAGTGTAGATGTGGAGTGAATTGGTACAGTACTCCAAGGAATATCGCAATAATCTAATTTCATCATAAGTGACTTGTCCAAATAAAAAGGAACAGTACCAAGTTAAAAAGTATTGTACATATCTATTACATCTAAGCATTATTCGAGGGAGAAAAAATATGTACAAAGTGCTAAGTTAAAACATTCCTATTCAGAGTCGTGAACAGTAGTAGATTCATATACCATACCTTGCCAGAGGCAACGATTTGGTTCCATGGCAGGATAGAAAGGCGCTTTCTGATAATTTACATATTTTCTTTGAGAAAAGTAAAATACAGGTATATACTATATACTTTATATTCTTCTTAGGCACATCAAAAAATAGCTGCGTTACAGAAAATAATGAAAATGCTATTAAAATTTCATTGAGGCGTCTGTGTTGGCCGTGCAGAGGATTGCATGCTGGAAGAAAGCTTTTTAGAGGATGAGATCTTTTCAAGAGGTCTCTTCCCATTAATGGGAGACTGAAGACTAGCCTCAGAATTGGAAGACTTGGACTTGCCTACTTGTAAGAGAGACCGTTTATTAGGGGTGGAGGTCTTCGAGGACTCTTTCTCATCGGTGGCAGCCTTGCAGGAGCGCGGCTCTGGAGAGACCTGCTGGGAAGAGTTTCCTGAGCCTTCGCCCTCGTCAGCATCGAGTTTGCACTGGCTGCTGGACTTGGCAGTCCTCTCGACAGCCTTCTTGGCGAGAATCGTGGTCTTGCCCAGATCGGCCGACCGACGAGTCTCTTTCTGCCGAAGCGCGCTCTTGAAAAACGAGAGTCCCTTGTCCTCGGATTTGCTGCAGCGGCGGAGGTCTCTCGAGGAGACGCTTGGGGAGCGCAGGCTGGTGACTGAGGAACTACTGCTAGAGCTTCTCACTGGCCTCCTTTCGGGCCGGCTTGCCTCTGTAGTTTTAGGTTGGGATGTTTGCGGGGTGGCACTGACTTTAGACTTCTCTGCCAGGGGACTGGTGTGCGCCAAGTCCTTGCTGGAGCCTCTTTCCACCAGCTTCTTCTTGCCAGACACAGAGTTCCTCTCAGCCACCGAGGAGCTCTTTTTGGATGTGGGCGAGGGAGAGGCAGAGGATTGGGGTGTGGAAGTAAGGGACGGTTTCCCCTTTGTGCCTCCAGACACTGGAGACTCCTGTGCCTGCAAAGACTCTTTCCTTTTGGAGGGCGTTCCTGAAGGTGTACCCTTGGTACTCTTGGGAGAATTGCTCTTCTCTTTTAGATTGGTCGCTTTGCTGCCCTTCGCTTGAGGGCTGGAAGACACTTGGGAGGATGGAGACTTGGTTACAGAAGAGGTGCTCTGGCGCTTCTTCGAGGGCTTCTCTTGGTCCCCCTTGGTCTTGGTGGAGCTCTTCTTGCTGGCAGATCCTTCTGCCTTCTTCTCCAACACAGAGCTCTTATGCTTCTGCTCTTTGGAGAGTGCTCCGAGAGCATTCTGGTCCACAGCATTAATCTGGTTGTTGTTGTCAATGGGCTCACCTTTAGAGCTCTTCCTGTCGGACTGTGTTGGAGCTCTGCAATAGGCCTCATCTAGGATCTGTTTCCCATTGCCGTCATCACTACCGTTACCCTCCATCATGGCCAGCGGGGCCTTACTGCTGGGCTGACGCTCATGTCTGCTGTAGCCGCCGAAGCAAGACGTGGACACTTTGTCGTCACAAGCTTCTCCTATCCTCTCGAGAGGAGGGGAGGAGCGCGAGTCCAAAGAGAATCGCGAGGGCGAGTTAGATCTCATTTGTAGTTTCTGTGACAGGGACCAGGAAGGTTTCATCCCATTTTCACTGAAAACCAGAGGGCTGGTAACCGACGATCTAGAGGACAAGCTCTGCCGCTGGATGCTCCTCACGAAGGGTCGCGTTGAAAATCCTCCTTAACAAAAAGAACAGAGAGATTTAAACTAATGTGCTAATACTGGACTGAATGAAAAGAGCATTGGCATGCAGTTTTGTCTTAACTGAGCAAGGCGGGAGATCCTGTGTTAGTAAGCGCTAAAGCTACAAGAGAGAGAAGACATAATAAAGAAAGGCAAGAGTAAAACACTGGCACAACACACAGAATAAGAGGACACAAGGAAGATGAGGGCAAAATATGGTACTACTTAGCTTCTAAAGATTTACATATTAGACACCAGAAAAATTAACATTTATGTTAGAGGCATAACGAAGCTTCTCACCATCGTCTTCACTGCGATCACCGGGAAACTCCACTGACTCTGCCAAAGAGATCAGGGATGTGCGTCTTGAGGAGGCTCCGGAGGCCAGGCTGGGCGGCCTGCTGCCCTGAAGCCGGTTAACCCAGTGTTCACATAAAGATGAGCTGGTCGAGCCTGAGACAATTACACAAATCCAAAATAAGGTTCTTCATTTATAGAGCCATGGTCTGCACTGTTGTTGAAGAGTATTCACACAAAAAAAATAAAAAAAAACATTACATTTTCTGTCCACTCTCTGACCCTTAGAATTAAATGGGCTTTTTTTGATACAGTATTCTTTATATTCTGATTGGTTAATCCGTAGACCGTTGATCATCAGGGTTGTTGAATACTAAGATGTTGATATGTAAAAGTTGTTGGTCATATGGCAGTTACTGCTTGTGATTGTGTTTATGGGGTGCAGTCTAACATGTGTTAATGCTCTGTGATGTTCTCTAGATGTGGCTCAGATATTTTAGATTCTGATCTATTATATTCTGACATTTTCATCTCTCCCTTAAAGGGGTGGTTCACTGGGTTTTTTCTAGGCTTGATTGTGTTTATGGGGTGCAGTCTAACATGTGTTAATGCTTCGTTTAAAAAAAAAAAAACGCATTATTTTTCACATAATTTACCTTATTCCACACCGCTTTGTCCCTTCTCTGAGAAACGCGCCGATCATTTCCTTCTTTTATGAAGCCCCTCCCTCAGAAATAGGCGATGGGATCTGATTGGTTAGCTAGCCCAGTGTGTTGTGATTGGCTAAACCGTCTCTAGTGTGCGTCTAAACGTCCCGCCTCTCACCTCAGCGGCATGTGCTCCGGTTGTATTGTAAACAA